CTTATTTTGCTTTAACTGTTAAAGTTTGTTGTAAAGTATTTCGTATTGTTTTAAGGTGGTTGACAATGTTTCGTGGTGTATTTCATCAGTTCGGACTCCCATTGTCTAATTTAATATAAATTGATTTGAAATTGCTGAAAATGCGAAAATGACAATTTTATTTGAACAAAAAAACTGAAATCACAAAGAAATATAAACATAAAACCAAACAACAATAAAAAAAATAAAAATTGCAATATTAATAAAAGCTGAAAATAAAAAGTATTATTAACAAAAAATGAAAATTGAAAGATTTCAAACCAAGTTATGTCACGACGTTTCGATTGTTAGTATTCACAATCGTCTTCGGGTGATAACTGGACTTATTCCTCCGAGATCCGACTATTTATAGGCCATTCGAGTGCTTTCACCTATCCCCTCTTCTCTCTCTCCGCTTCATTGGTTTTTAGCGGGAGATGACCGTTTGGCGGGAGTAGGTCGTTTTTCGTTTGATTAGAGGTGTCCATATGTTACGTATCACTACGCTAGCTTGACTAAATGCGTTGTTGGACAACATATACGCGACTTCTTCAGTGTTTCTCTTTGTGGATTATTTCAGCTTGAGCCCACTGTGTGCGTTTCTTGTGCTCAGCAATGCGAACTTTCAATGGCCTTTTACTTTCACCGATGTATGATTCTCCGCACTCGCAGGGTATCCGGTAAATGTAATTCTTGGAATCGCAGTCCGCGTTTGGTGGCCTGGTTTTCGTGAGGCTGCTACGGATAGTGTTCCCAGATCTGAAGCAGGTCCTGATGTTATACTTAGACCCAATCCTTCGTATCCTTTCCGGTAATCCTCTGATGTAGGGAAGTACAAGTACTGGTTGTGGCGGCTTCTCTTCCTTGTGGAGCTCTTGCTGTCTTCTAGCATCACCTTCAAACCAACGGAAAGGTTGTTGGAATGCCCACAATATATCGGCGAATAAGACGCTTCGGAGTTATCCCCATTGGGTGTTGCCACTAACTCTCGAGCATCGACGCAACCGATGCTCGCTAGACGTCATGTGGCTAGAGCAACTATTGACTTCATGGATCACCATGCCATTAACAACCGCTTTCCATGGCCACCCAGATCGCCCGATTTTTCACCGATCGAACATGTGTGGGATATTCTTGGTCGAAGACTGCTGAATTTTCAACAGCCCCAACAGCACTTAGACATGAGTTAGAAGAAGGGTGGTATGAGTTACCCCACAGGATATAGACCACCTCATCAGGACAATGCCCAGACGTATCCATGAGTGTATAGGACATCAAGGATCTGCATCACACTACTGAACTTCACTGGTTTCACGATCATCCAATTTCTCTGAAAACTTACTCGTTTTTTTGCTATTATCTGTCAAGTATTTGAGTAAAAAAATATTGAAATATTTTCAATATAAATGGGTGTTTACCTTTCTTCGTCACTTAGTCACATGGAAATAATCCAGCAAATATATATTTCTGATTGAAGTATTACTTGAAAATTATTATTATTATTATTGATAATCATAAATTTCAAATTGAAAGGGATTAATAATTTGGGAGAGATTGTTTTTCTCACGTATACATTTTATCATAAAATAATGATCAGGGTATTATTTTGAAAGTCGTTTCAAAAATTCCAAAGTAATTCTACTTTTTTAGTTGTCAATTTCAAAATGTCAAAAAAGGAAGTGAGGAACAACTGTCATATCAATCAGTTTTCAAAATAAAGCCACAAGACTATTTTTTATGAATGTATAGTATAATTTATACTTTATAATTTTATTATTCTTCTAGTATTGAACAATTTCGATTCGGTACTTAGTAAAGACTCTTCTGTTTCAACGTGTTTGAACAATATTGTGAAAACCTCGTGGAAAATTGAGAAATAATAAACACCTGAGCACGCAAGGAGCAAACGTTTGCCACATACATTAAACAAAGGATACGTTTCATGTGAGGTAGATACACTTTTTGAGCTAACTAATAATAATATGATGTTCAGTGGATGTAATGATAATGTAGAACACGTTCTTTTTTTCTTTATGTTTATCGTTTTACAGTTGGAATAACATGGAGGAAAAATATAAATTGGGAGATACCGTTAAAGTATCATGTTAGTGAGGATTTATGGTAGATGAGGATTTTACGCATTCACACAAGACTAGCTATATCTAACAAAATTGCTTATTTTTTTCACGTGTCCTCTCAGTCGATAATAAACAAATTTGTAATTGATGCCTCGGTGACGTGTACAGCGTTGTTTTTAAATCAAGTGTACGTCATCAAAGACATTACTGAAATTACACGTCTCGATTTGTGGTATAGTAAACAGTCTACTTAGGTTGGAATAAATTTTTTTGCGACGTATTATCTGTAATTGCTAGGTACTGGATTTTACAACAAATATATATTTTCGCGTTGTCATAAATAAGTCTTCTATTTGTTTTGAGTTCGTAGAGAACAAGTTGATTGTTATCTTCGACTTGTAAAGTTCAAAAAATATTTTTGCATGAAATGAAAAGTTTAATGAATGAAATAATTATTTCAGTATTTAATGTATTATAATCATACACTCGGTATGATTGAAGAAACAAGGGTACAGAGGAAAATACCCTGGAAAATAAATATGAATTTTTATAACCAGATAATTTAAAAAAAAGGTTTTTATTTTCGATTCGATGGGGCACTTTTAAATACGTACATTTTTTATTTAGAAATCATCAGTAAGTGTTAGTTTCTTACTGTTCATGTACCAGATTAAATAAAAAACGTCCCCGGATATCAATCTTGAGATTTCATTGATTAAAGTTGTTATTACGTGAATATCTGAGATGGTCTCGATATTACTTAATGATCTTGCATTCTTAGAAGTGTAGTTTGTTGTGCGAATCCGTTACTGTTTCTGATTCAGTGTTTGTGTTACCAGTCTCTTAATTTAATAACAGAATAACTCAATCACCCAAGTTATTGAAAAATACAAGCAAAAATAGATATCCCATTATGATAGCGAAAAATGTATTCTATGAATAATGAGAAATATGTAAAATTTGAGACAAGTTTAAAATTTTTTTGACTAATTTGTTCAACATATGATAAACTGACAACTGTAAAATCAACTTGAATCCAGCTTTTTAGCACCTTTGTAAATATTTCAGAACACATTGTTCAATTCAGTCTACAGTTTCTTTTTTATCTGCTTTGTTTTTCTTTGTTTTACGGAAGGACTGAATGCAGTTTGGTGGTCTTCTAGAATCAAAATAGTGTGACAAATTAAAGAATTAACTGTCTTAAACAAATTTATTTCCAACAATATTTCACTAATCACAAACTAATTTATTTATTACAATATTTAGCAACTAACGCTTGATTTATGACTACTATTTGAATTTCTTGTTTAGCCGCTCGATTCACTTTCTGAACTGCCCTCTTGGGTCAGGAAGACGTCCTTATATCGGTAACGGTCCTTTCTAGAAATCTGTAGTCGGTTCGGTCATAGAATTTTACCGGCGATTCCCGACTGCATTCTTTCGTGGTGATGTCATGTGTGTGTTCGCTGAGTCGGCCGGCATATCGGTCAGGAGCTACTTCAAATTCTTTGTAATAGTTTTATTTTTTACTAAAATATAATCAACAGTAGCAGTAACAGGAAAATGTTCATTGCATAGGAAATACACATGACGTTTATTCAAGTTTGTAACCGACTCCTTTGGACTCGACAATACAATAATTTCATAAGTTTCTCTCATTATCCTTATCATCCTTATCTCCAGGATGTCAGAGCAAGTGAGACAACCACACTGTCTGCGCATGCGTATATATTTTATATCAAATCAAATGGGCTTGAAATAGCAAGAAAAACTAAAAAATGTCAAATTAATAGTTTAGTTTATTCAGTTTTTGTAAACTATTATTTTTCTGTGTTAAAGTCATCTATTTTTCACTTTCCTACACTTTACTGGTCTACATTTAATTACCTAAGGTTTTTTTTTTGAATCTCATTGGTTTTTTCCCTAGTTATTCGTCTCTCCTTACAGGAATCATGAAAAATTGAACAGAAACGCTCAGTTTTGAAAGTTGGCCCTTACTTTCAAATTAAGCACTGTAAGCAGATGTTAGAATCGAAATTAATTCAACGAAATTCATTTTTGCTTTGTTACTGTCAATAACGAAATGTTAATACCATCGTATCAGTTATAACTGTTATTTATTCGAAACCTATTCATATCGAGCTTTGAAAAACTTTCAGAGATATGGTAGTGATTAAAGCAAAGATTTATTACAATATATAAGGTTTTGTTTATTTTCAGCAATTTTGCAACAGAGTACAGTTATCCAAGGTCAATGGTTTATGATAAATTGTTTGATGTGTTCGCTTGCCATTATAAAAAACTTTTATTTCGTATTGCGTGGTTGGGTTCTCGAGTACAATTGAATTGGTTTTGTTTTATGCAATTCGTTGAAGTAGGGACGCACGCTGAGAAATTACGTGGGGAAATATTTAATGTGTTTATTAATGTTATTTGATATCATGCGTCAGTAGATAACTGAAAAGCGTATCGTCGTTAATGTGTTATGGCAATTGTAAGGTTGTAGAGATCAGAGTTCAATTCCAAAGCCTCTGGAAATGAAAAGATTCAGAGATGTTGAGGAACAAAAAAGATTCATTCTTTTAGAAATTTGTTCGAATGAACTGGCATTTCCCGGGGAATTCAACAAGGATTTCCCCATATATGTTCAACTTTGAAATTCCCAAATTTTCTGTAACATTTACTCTGATATTATCGTTAAAAATACATTTGTTTCAAATATCAATTTGGGATAATTGACAAATCCTTCTCATAAAAACTAACCTGTAGTTTTCTAATGGGGAATGTTCCTCAATTTGGGTTATTACATCTGAATTGTTTTTTCACATTACCGGACGTTTTCTTCACATTCCGATTAATTTGAATGGAATTTGTATTTTATAAAAGAGTATTTCTTTGTTTCAGATTACGTAGCTGGTGGAGAACTCTTCACTCATTTATACCAAAGAGAACACTTCACCGAAGATGAAGTTCGTATTTACATCGGAGAAATAATCTTGGCCTTGGAACATTTACACGCTGTAAGTTGTTTCCTTATATACTGAACGAAAGTCGTTTTTGTGGAGGAAAATCAGCTTTTATCGACCATCTTTGGACATTTTCACCATTACACTTTTCATACTTTTCAGGTTGTGGTACTTAGGTGAAAATACCCAAAGAAGGTCAGGTCAATAAAAACTGTTTCCTTGGGCTTTCATACTCAAGAGGTGAATTAATTTGCCCAACTAAGCAGTAGGTGTAACCTGCGATTTTTAAATTTTTCTTGTATTGAAAAATGTTGAATTTATCGAAATGCGTTGATGTTTGATAAATTTTGTGGAAGAGAAAAACATAAACACGAAAAAGTATCATTTCTAATGTTCTGAAAAGAAAAAACAGTAAATGAGAAACAATTTTTGGGTCGTTATACTGGGCTAACATAAATATAGCATAAAAAGACTTAGGAGCTGATTTCGGGCCATTGCGCCCATACGTGACAACTGGAAATGCTGTGAGAAAATTGACGAACAGAACAAAATCGACTCTGTACTAGTTGACAGGATAGTCAGAAATCACACCCAATAAAAAAGCTGATGAATGAGCTAGTCACGAATTACAAAATCCCCGAATCAGCTGTGGGGATCAATAATATAATTTTTCTTTTGGCTCCAGATAGGAAGATGATTCAATGTCAAAAAAAGAATCCTGGAAGAATTACCTGGGAAAACCTATATAAATGTGGAAAATAAATGCAAGTGACCGCCCTTGGGAGCCTCGTTGGTCTATGATATCCGAGGATTTAAAAAAAAATCGATTTATTTCCAACAGTAGTACCCAGTTACGGGAAATGCTATTATTACAGAGTATATGAGCGAAATATTAAAAATAGTGGAATATAGAAATGTATAAAAGTAAATGCTAAAACAAAGTATATATAAAATATTCGTGTACGTAGAATTTCAAAAGAGGAATGAAAAATTGAGTATATAACAAAAAAGTTACAAATCATGCAGTGTAGCAGTACTGACACAAATGTTATTTATAGTATTATTAAAAGTGATTGTGGAATACAAAGTATGCTAAAATG